CAAGACTTGAAATTTTTAAACATAAATTTGTCAGCGAAGAGGCTCTGTGACATGCTGGAAAAAACTGAAGTTTAGAGTCGGGGGTTGGAAATATTTGGGTTCACTTCCTAGTTCAGCCCCTAGAAATCTTGTGTCTCCTTCTTAGGCCTATTTTCCCCCTCTCTAATGTGGAGATGGTCGTGCCTACCTTTCAGGGTTGGTAGAAACCAGAGGACACGACTTGAGAGCCTTCAAAGTGCCAGTGTTGAGCACTGGGAGCACCAAAAAAAGACCAAGACCCACCCCTGTTCTCCAGGAACTAGGATATTCTAGAATAGTCTTTTCTTGTGCAAACTTTGATAAAGGCTGCCTAGAGCAGTTGGACAGATTTGTGGGCTTCTGTCAGGACTGCATGGGAAAAAGTGCTGTGGTGGGCTAGCGACATCTGCCGTGGAACCAAGGCTGAGGAATGACACCCATGCTGAGGAGGAGCTCGAATGCTCAGTAAATGTGATTGGTTGTCTTTGTTCTTGTGGACGCACTGGAAGTGTGGTGAAGGTTAAACTCTTGATGTAAGATGTATTCCTGTCACCCGCAGGTGTGCATTCAGGACCTCATCTCTCCTATCAATGTCTCCCTGAACTACTCTCTCTGGGAGGAAGAAGGGACACCGAGAGACAGGGCGGTAAGGAGGGGTCAGCTGGGGGAGTTGATCGGAAAGAGGGGAGAGTAGAAATTCAATTTAGTAGCACTGTATTACAGAGGAGCCTTTGGTTTAAAGCAACGGAAACCGAATAGCTTCCTTAAGCAGGAAGGGAATTTGTGGGAGTTTGTATATAAGAGAAATTTGGGAAATATGATTGGGAAGGAGGGGAGTCAGGGGGAGGCTCTGGGGCCTCTCCAGGGGAAGGACTCTTCAGGGCGCACCTCTCATTAGTTAGAACATGGTCACATGCTCACACCTAATTACAACAGTGAGAAACACACGTGGTCATGTGACCAGGTTTAAAATACGGAGGCTCTACTTTTTAAAAAATATATCTTTATTGATTTCAGAGAGAGGAAGGAAGAGGGAGAGAGGGAGAGAAACATCAGTAATGAGAGAGTCATTGATCCGCTGCCTCCTGCACGCCTCCTACTGGGGATCAAGCCCCCAACCTGGGCATGTGTCCTGACCAGGAATCAAACCTCAGTCTCCTAGATCCTAGGTCAATGCTCAACCACTGAGCCATGCCGCATGGCCAGGCTAGAGGCTCTACTTTAAAGTTAGCTGGTGAGGGAAGATACATAGGGACAACTGCCTGTCTATTATCAACACTAATTTTTAAAAAGTCAGACTGTGTGATATAGGAACTCAGGGTAGAAAAGAGACCTGAGGTCACAGTTGTCAAAAAAGACTTTCAGAGGAGGTGCCATTGTCTCTGGATCTTGCAGAATGAGTAGACTTTGTGTGGGTGGAGAGAAGAGAGTCAAAGGGAACAGCTTGAGGAAGGGTATGGTAGTAAGTTAAAGGCAAATGGGAGGTGGGCTTGGCTTCTGGCAGAAGGACAACAGCAAGGCAGAGGCCCTGAATGCCTCTGTCTTGGGGGCTGGCTGTGGTCCAGTGGGTGGTGGGAATCTGTATGAATGCTGAGGTCAGCAGAGGCTGCCAGGACCCCTGCCCCTCAAGCAAGAGTGCAGAGGCTGCTTGACAGTTGACCTGGAAGCAGAGGAGGCTGGCATCTCTCTAGAACATACAGCTGATAACACAAAAAATAGTTCTGTGACCTCATTGTGTTCAGGATAAAGTTCCAGCAAGGCCCAGGGGAGCCTGGACCCCGCTTCTCTCTCCTGCCCCTGTGACACACGCGCTCCTGCCAGTCTGAGCCTCTTTTGCTTCTGCACAGGCACAGTTTCTTGCCTTGAGCCTTTGTGTAGACTGTCTTCCCTCCTCCCTCTCCATTTTCTTCACTCGGCTCATTCTTTAGATTTCAGTTGGGAGGCCATCCCTCTCCCCAGTCCCCAAGTGTGGGCTGGGATTTCTATCTACATGACCTAAAGGTAGCCGGTCCCATCATAACCCTGAAGATGCCAGGACGTTTCTCCCACCAGATTGGGAGGGCAGGGAGTGTGTTCATTTTGTTCTTGTTGTACATCTAGTCCCCAGCACGGGGGCCTGGCCCAGAGCAGATGCTCTGGACATTTTGCAAAAACTGGCCTTGATCTAGAGAGCTGTTCTAGGGGGGAAATAGGATCACAGAGGAGAAGCCCAGTAGGAGGTCACAGGCAGGTGAGCCCAGAGGCTGTGCACCAGACATTCCTGCCAGGGGAGCTGGGCCAGGAGGACCTGTGGGAGCTGCTTTGTCAGGGTCCAGTCTCCTGTCCAGGAGAGGAAATGGACACCCTGATCCTCAGCCTCCCCCAAGGAGCTTCCACCAGAGGAGGTCTGCACAGATGGCCTTGGGCTGAATCGGGAGGGTGGGACCTGCCCTGGGAGTGTGTTGGCTCCTGGGAGGGACAGACCACAGCTAGCCCAGCTGAGCCCCAAGCCCTGAGCTACTCTGTGCCTCCTCCATGCGTTCTGCTGCCTCAACTAACCTCTCCTGTCTCCCGGCCCTCCCACCCCTCCGTGCTCAGCAGGGCAAGGACATGCTGCCCATCCTGAGACCCTTGCCACACTCAGAGACCAAGGAGGTAAGAGTGGAAGAGTGGCTGACAGAGATGCCAGGGGCAGGCCCTCCTGGGTTTGGGGCCCTGAGCCTCCTGGTCCTTTCTTCTTGGCCTTTCAGATCCCTTTTGAGAAGAACTGTGGTGAGGACAAGAAATGTGAGGCAAACCTGGGGCTGTCCTTCTCCCCTGCAAGGTCTGTAAGGCTCCCCCCTCCTCCTGTTCCACTCAGAAGACCCCCATCTGCACTCACTAGATGTGTTATCTGGACCCTAGTTCCCTTCTCTGAGAAATGCAAGGCCCTGCAGCACTCCTGTCAGGATTAAATGAGATCGCAGAGTTTAAGCCTATGCATAGGAGCTTATTTTGGTGTGTTTATTTTTTTCTGGACTACCAGATTCCTTAGTTCTGAAAGCCCTCACCTCTGACCCTGCTTCCTTCACCTTGGCCCCTATAACTTGTCCCTCCCTAGGTCCAGAGTCCTGCGTCTGACCTCTTCTGCCAGCCTCTCCGTGGAGCTGACCCTGAATAACTCAGGAGAAGACGCTTACTGGGTCCAGCTCAGCCTGAGTTTCCCCTGGGGACTCTCCTTCCGCAAAGCGGAGATGCTCAAGGTGAGTGAAAAGGCAGGGCCTGCCCACATTCCCTGCTTGTCCCTGCAGCCCCCGCTCCCCTCCGGAGCCTCGGGCAGCCAGGACAGCCCAAAGGCATGCGCAGCAGCTAGCACACAGAGCTCTTCGGGCCACATCTGGGTTCGCAGACTGATGGCCACCCTCAAGTTATATGACCCGAGATACAAGGTTCCCCCTCTGTGAGTCTTGGATTCCACAACCAAAAAATGAGGCTGGGGAGCCCTGCAGGGTTAGTAACAGGGTCCCACGAAAGGGAGTGTGACAGAGGCTCTTGAACCTGCTGACCAAGATGTGCGCAGGTTTAGTGAGATCCAGCTACTTCCCTCCAAAAGGTGGCCAAGGTGTCCTCGAGGCTGGGTTGTTAGAAATACAACTTGTGCCCGGCCGGATGTGGCTCAGCGGTTGAGCATCAACCTAGGATCCAGGAGATCGGGGTTCGATTCCCGGTCAGGGCACATGCCCGGGTTGCGGGCTAGGCAGCCGATCAATGACTCTCTCATCATTGATGTTTCTCTCTCTCTCTCTCGCCCTCCTTTCCTCTCTCTGAAATCAATAAAGATATACTTAAAAAAAGAAATACAACTTGTATTTTTAAGATTATTCTTACAAAAGTAATATGTGATCCCCACAGAAACTTGGAAATGACAGAGACATTTAAAGAAGATAACCACCCATACTTCTACAACTCAGCGATTACTACTTTTAATATTTTGGTGTTTGTCTTTCTTTTTACACATACAAATTACATCATATATTTATTTATTCAATATTTGTTTTAATTAAATTGACATTTTGCTCTCCATATGGTTATTTTTTTCTCCACCTTTAAAAAATATGTCTTTATTGATTTCAGAGAGAGGAAAGGAGAGGGGGAGAGAGAGAGACAGACAGAAACATCAATGATGAGAGAGTCATTGATCGGCTGCCTCCCGCATGCCCCCAACTGGGTATCGAGCCCGCAACCCGGGCCTGTGCCCTGACCGGGAATCGAACCGCGATCTCCTGGATCTTAGGTTGATGCTCAACCATTAAGCCACGCCCAGCCGGGCTCTCCATGGTTTTTAAAAAATGTTTTTATCATGGAAAAATATATATAATATAAATGTCACCGTTTTCGCCATACAGTTCAGTGACATTGAGCACATTCACGATGTTGTGTAACCATCACCACTATCTATTTACAGAGCTCTTTCCTCATCAGAAACAGAAGTTCTATACCCTTAAGCAATAACTTCCTGCCCCACCTTCTTCCCAGGGTAACCTCTAATCTACTTTACATCTCTACGAATTTGCCTATTCTAGATGTTTCATGAGTGAAATCCTACATTCATCCTTTTGTGTCTGTATTATTTCACTCAGCATAGTGTTTTTGAGGTTCATGTGATAGCATGTGTAAATTTCATCCCTTTTTAAGGCTAAGCAATATTCCGTTGTATGGATAGACCAGAATTCTTATCCACCCAACTGTCTGGATACTAGAATTATTCTTATACAGCAACATTAAATGCTCCCTTACGATCTCAATAAAGAACTTGAGATCTGGAGTCCAACAGGCCTGTGCTCAAGTTCTTACCAGATCCCTGCCAGCTTGAGACCTTGGGCAAGTCATTCAACTTCCCTGAATCTCTGTTTCCTCGATGAATTCCCTTCCCTGTCTGGGGCTGAAACCTGTCCCTCGCAGAGTGTGATGAAGATGAATGGTTGCTGAATATGTCAATGTAGCAGCCTTTTAACGATCTCATGATATCCCCTCCTGTAACTGTATCACAGTTTGCTGGCCCATTCCTACCTCTTTGAACTGCTCGATCACTTCCAGTTGTCTGCTATTATAAAGAGAGTTGTAGTGAACGTCTCAGTACTAACCCTCTGGCTGTGCCCCTCGTCCTTTGGCCCCGCGCCCCTAAGAGTGTGCCCTGAGAGGGACAGAGCTAGAGGAGGTGAACCCTCTAGCTGAGGGTTGGTGGCTTCTGGGGAGCCCTTAGCCCTGCCCACTAAAAAGCTCATTCTCTCTCTCTTCTCGCCCCCAGCCCCACAGCCAGATACCTGTGAGCTGCGAGGAGCTTCCTAAGGAGCCCGGGCTTCTGACCAGGAGCCTCTCCTGCAACGTGAGCTCTCCCATCTTTAAAGCAGGCAGCTCGGTGAGTAGCTCCCGGCCCCAGGGACCCAGCAGACAGGCTGTGCGCTCAGGAGGGGACGAGCTCCTGGTCTGGGGAAGGGTGCGGGGGATTGGCAGGGAAGGGCTTATGCCACCCGCGCCCCAAAGGTGACGTGTGCAGACGTGATTTGCATCGTGAGCGGGATGATTCATTCTGTGACACCACGCACACTCACACACACACACACACACAACTTAGCCCCAGATGATGGGGTCGAACCCGAGCCCCGTGCTAGGGGCAGTGAGCTCTCCGTAAGTGGCCGCTGTCGGGGCCGCTGTCGTGGCGGTTGGGTATGGGAGCTGTGAGGGGCCGAGGCTGCCCC